CAAAAGCTCATGTCCTATTTAACCTCTTTTGAGTCCCGCATTGCAAGGGGTTAGACTAGATGACTCGTGGGGTCTCTTCCAACCCCACAATTCCATGGATGCTGATTCATTTCTGCTAGGCCTCTCCCTGTTTCTTTTTGCTGATTCAAAGCACCGAGTGGCTTTTTCTTCTTCTTCTTCGTTTCCTTTCCAGCTTTCAGTGCAGAGAACTTCCTTCCTCTGGAGGTGTTTCAACCCTGCAATTATGCCGTGACTCACAGCTCTCCCCCCTCTTGTCGTGGGGCGATGGGCAGAATGTCACCGCCACCATGGGCAGGCAGGATTGGCGGTGGCCCTTAACCCCATTCATAATAAGGGATGTGGAAATGGAACACTCAGCTGGTGAGTTCAATGTCTATATTTGCCTGGAAAGAGTCAGATGAGGGGCAGGGAGCAGTCACTGAATTAAAGAGATAGTTATTGTCGGCTTGCAGACACATGACGCTGAGCCTTTGGGATCTGCTGGGATCTGCTGAGCACAGCCTAGGCAGTTTCCTGTTTTGTGCCCCCCACCCCACCCACTGTAGGAGCCCCAACCACATTTCCCTTTTTATATATATAATTTTTTATTAGTTTTTCAACATATCATTTTCAACAATAGTTAGACGTACTTTTACATCTTGGGATGTGGGTGGCACTGTGGGCTAAACCACAGAGCCTACAGCTTGCCGATCAGAAGGTCGGTGGTTTGAATCCCGTGACGGGTGAGCTCCCGTTGCTCAGTCCCTGCTCCTGCCAACCTAGCAGTTCGAAAGTACGTCAAAGTGCAAGTAGATAAATAGGTACCGCTCTGGCGGGAAGGTAAACGGCGTTTCCGTGCGCTGCTCTGGTTCGCCAGAAGCGGCTTAGTCCTGCTGGCCACATGACCCGGAAGCTGTATGCCGGCTCCCTCGGCCAATAAAGCGAGATGAGCACCGCAACCCCAGAGTCGGCCACGACTGGACCTAATGGTCAGGGGTCCCTTTACCTTTACCTTTACTTTTACATCTTATACAGTTTTTTTGACTTCCATCAATCACATCTGAAAATTTTCCAATCTATTCACTTAATTTGCATTTCTTATTTTCACTATTACTTTTAAATCTCATAACTAATATCTCTCTTCTTTCTCTTCTTTGCAATGTTTCGTATATTTCTCCTTGCAAATCCTCTTGTAGTCCTACTAGCGTAATTTGTTGATTACAGTTGCTCTTCAAATAATCTGTATATTTCTTCCAATCTTCTGTGAATCTCTGGTCCCGCAGGTTTCGAATCCTTCCTGTCATTTTATCCAATTCTGTGTAGTCCATTAATTTTGTCTGCCATACTTCTTTTGTCGGTACTTCCCCCTACCACATTTCCTATTCCGCTCTCTTTAACCCAGTCATTCCATACAGCAAAGCCTGAAGCCAGGGCTCTGGTTTGTTTCCTTGAACTGCCATGTTGCTGAGTTGCCTCTCTGGTTGCAATGTTAAACTGCGGAACTCACTCCCGCAGCAGGCAGTGATGGCCACTAAAGGTAAAGCTAAAGGGACCCCTGACCTGATGACATTCTGATTGGCAAGTCCTAGGCTCTGTTTAACCCACAGCGCCACCCGCGTCCCTTAAAGGCACCTTAAAGGTAAAGGTAAAGGGACCCCTGACCATTAGGTCCAGTCGTGGCCGACTCTGGGGTTGCGGCGCTCATCTCGCTTTATTGGCCGAGGGAGCCGGTGTACAGCTTCCGGGTCATGTGGCCAGCATGACGAAGCCACTTCTGGCAAACCAGAGCAGCGCACGGAAATGCCGTTTACCTTCCTGCCGGAGTGGTACCTATTTATCTACTTGCACTTTGAGGTGCTTTCGAACTGCTAAGTTGGCAGGAGCAGAGACCGAGCAACGGGAGCTCACCCCGTCGCGGAGATTCGAACCGTCAACCTTCTGATCGGCAAGCCCAAGAGGCTCAGTGGTTTAGACCACAGCGCCACCCACATCCCAAGGAGATATAGCCATCTTGAAATATCTCAAGGGCTGTCGCAGGGAAGAGGGACCAAGCTGTTTTCCCCACATCCCTACTAACCCACATCCCTACTAACCCACATCCCTACTAACAACACCTAGGGCTGGGCAACACACTTAAGGTAAAGGGACCTCTGACCATTAGGTCCAGTCGTGGCCGACTCTGGGGTTGCGACGCTCATCTCACTTTATTGGCTGAGGGAGCCGGCGTACAGCTTCCGGGTCATGTGGCCAGCATGACTAAGCCGCTTCTGGCAAACCAGAGTAGTGCACAGAAATGCCGTTTGCCTTCCCGCCGGAGTGGTACCTATTTATCTACTTGCACTTTGACGTGCTTTCGAACTGCTAGGTTGGCAGGAGCAGGGACCAAGCAACGGGAGCTCACCCCGTGACTGGGATTCGAACTGCCAACCCTCTGATCGGCAAGTTATAGGCTCTGTGGTTTAACCCACAGCGCCACCCACGTCCCGAGGAGATATGATAGCCATCTTCAAATATCTCAAGGGCTGTCACAGGGAAGAGGGACCAAGCTGGTTTTCTCCTCCTCCGGAGGGTAGGACTTGAGCCCATGGCTTCAAGTTACAAGAAAGGAGATTCGAACTAAACATCCGGAAGAACTTTCCAAGAGTAAGAGCTGTTCAACAGAGGAAGGGCCTTGCATGGGAATTTGTGGACTCTCCTTCCTTGGAGATTTGGAAGCAGAGATTGGATGGCCATCTGTCATGGAAACCCGGTTAGATGGGCAGGGTAATAAATTATTACTATTACCATAAATCACTCATTATAAATCACTAGCAGCAAACTAAATTGCCTATATGTCAGTCTCTTATGTAGCCAAAACAGAACTACCCACACACAAGAGAGAGGTTTAACGACAGGTTTACAAAAAGGTTGGGTTCAAAACAGCCCGGTGAGGACTGAGTATGAAATGCTGGCTGGCTGGCCATTGCGGTGGAGGGGAGGACACAAAAAATCAGGAGGAGACTAGGAATGGAATGGAGTATCCTGTTCAAGGTACGCCACGCTGCATAATTTTGTTGCAGATCTGGCTTGTGCGATTAGATTAGGCGGCTGATTTGTCCTTCCTTGAGGATTTGGTTTACAGCTCCCCCTAGCGGACAAGTGCTGGAAGCGGCCCTACAACAGACCTGAAAATTCTTGGAAGGAAGAGAGTAGGACTGCCATTTTTTGTGTTTTCAAAAAGCTTGTCCAGCAGAAAGTGCCTTTGAGCATGTGCAGAATGCCTTTGGCTTCCCCCTTCCTCAACAGCGAAGTTGGGTGTTTTGTTTTGTTTTAATTGCATATATTAATTTCATTTATAATGTCTTGCTTTTTAAAATGGCCTAGGACTCTGCACTCAGTGCGTTTCTTTCGTAAAGGAAATCAGCCCCTGCTATCAAAATTAAAATTAAAATTAATAAATAAATTTTAGGACTAAGTGTAGGACTAATTGCAGTCGTTAACAGTTGTCCACAGGTTTTCCATACCCATTGAGCCAATCGCCCATCTCCTACTACCCTCCTGAGAAAAAACCCACCCTCCCACTATATATAAGGGTCTGGTGACTTCTGTTTCAGTGTATCTGAAGAAGTGTGCGTGCATTCTCATACCCAGAACAAACTTAGTTGGTCTCTAAGGTGCTACTGGACAATTTTTTAATTTTGTTTATTTTTATTTCAACTGCATCAGACCAACATGGCTACCTACCTGAATCTAGCCCCTGCTGTGGGTGTTGTATGAGCCTAAGGACAGGGTTCCTCTGAACACGTGCAGAGCTTTCTTCTCAATGGATGCAGGCAACTCTCAACTTACCTTATATATATATTTTAAAAGTAATTTTATAAGTTGTGTGTTCTTGTTTCTCGGTTTGATCCCTTTACGTGGTTTTGTATGTTTTCTGGTATTTTATGCATGGTGATTTGCTGGTTTTTTTTTATTGATTATAGCTTAGTAATTATTTAGTGTAATTGTTGAGTGTAAAAGGTTTAATTATTATTTGCTGGTGTTTAATTCTACTGTTTACTATTGGAGACTGATGATTATTGAATACAGTATTGCCTTATTTGATATAAGTGGTTTATTTTAAAGATAGTCTTACTTTTTATATTGGATCAGATTGTTACTATTATTTGTGTTGGAAGCTGCCCAGAGTGGCTAGGGTATAAATTATTATTATTATTATTATTATTATTATTATTATTATTATTATTAAAATATTTTATTTCATAAAATCAGATTGTGGATTAACTGAACCCTGACAAAGACCAGCCATGCAACTCTTGCTGCCGCTCAGCCAATGAAACCGATTCCATCCAAGCATTTTCCTTTATTTTGATCTTTATTGAACCAGAAAGGGGAAAGGCTGTCATCCAGGCCTGGTGGCTCTGTGTCCCTTCCATTTAAACAGACGAGCGCATGAGAATTGCCGGTGGCACCTTCTTGTCTGAAAACTCACTGTGACCTTGAGAACCGTGCAGACCGCAGAAATCCAACCGGTGCGGATTCTTCAGGCGTAGCGGTGCAGAGATAGCCGGTTGAATTGCTGCCTATCGTGCAGCTGTTGCCGGCGCAGAGCTTCTGTCCCTTCAAGAGTTGGCAAACTTACTCTTCTCGGCCCCGGAAGGGTTTGCTGAATTGAAGCAAAACCGAGGGGCGAAGGAACTGAGTTTTGAGTTTTGGGTTATTTCAAACTTTATTAAGGGAGGTAAAGGTAAAGGGACCCCTGACCATTAGGTCCAGTCATGGCCGACTCTGGGGTTGCAGCGCTCATCTCACTTTCTTGGCTGAGGGAGCCGACGTTTGTCCGCAGTTTGTCCGCAGTTTTCTGGGTCATGTGGCCAGCATGACTAAGCTGCTTCTGGCGAACCAGAGCAGCACACAGAAACGTCGTTTTCCTTCCCGCCGGAGTGGTACCTATTTATCTACTTGCACTTTGACGTGCTTTCGAACTGCTAGGTGGGCAGGAGCTGGGACTGAACAACGGGGCCTCACCCCATCGTGGGGATTCGAACCGCCAACCTTCTGATCGGCAAGTCCTAGGCTCTGTGGTTTAACCCACAGCGCCACCCACGTCCCCTTATTAAGGGAGACGTTTCAGAATAGTCGGGGGCCCTGGGGGTGAATTTATGGAACCAAGGGGACGGTGCCCTGAAAAAGTCTGGGAGCCACTGGTTTGAAACATGACATTCAAAGCATGATGCACCAAACAGCTCGACGAGGGAAGCGACAGCTTGGAAATATATCCTGTGTGGGCCTCGGCGCATGGCTTCTTCCCCTCTGGAAAAGTCTGGGTTTACGGCTCTCTCTTAGGCTGAATACTCTGCACCCAGGGGTCTCTGAAGGGCACAGGAGCTGCTGTGACAATGGCGCCCCGGTGCTGTCCAGGGGAGCCCTCCCGCAAGATGGGGGACAGCTGCTCCTCCTGGTCTTCGCCGTCCTGCCCCCGCTTGCCGCCTCCGTTCAAGTTGCGCAGCCCTGAGGACAGAAGGCAGGCGGTCAGCAGGGCCCCGGCCAGGGCGCATAGAACCGCACCCACGGCCTGGCAGATCCCCAAGGCGTGGTTGTATTCCACCGCCTGCTGGTCGAGCACCACGAACTCTGCCTCGCCGATCCCTTCCAGCTTGGGGGTCAGGAGGTAGCCCGTGGCCAAAGCCGAGGCGCCAATGAGCAGCAGCAGGGTCCCAACCGAGAGGGTCACCTGGGGGTGGAAAAGAACAGGATGAGACTGCGGCAGCTAGACTGGTGACTGGGAGCGGCCGCTAAGACCACATAGCACCGGTCTTGAAAGACCTACATTGGCTCCCAGTACGTTTCCGAGCACAATTCAAAGTGTTGGCGCTGACCTTGAAAGCTCTAAACGGCCTCAGCCCAGTAGACCTGAAGGAGCGTCTCCACCCCCATCGTTTTGCTCGGACACTGAGGTCCAGCTCCAAGGGCCTTCTGGCGGTTCCCTCACTGCGAGAAGCCAAGTTACAGGGACAGGCAGAGGGCCTTCTTGGTAGTGGCACCCGGCCCTGTGGAACACCCTCCCACCAGATGTCAAAGAGAAAAACAACTGCCAGACTTTTAGAAGACATCTGAAGGCAGCCCTTGTTTAGGAAGCTTTTAATGTTTAATAGGTTTATTGTATTTTAGTGTTCTGTTGGAAGCTGCCCAGAGTGGCTGGGGAAACCCAGCCAGATGGGCGGGGTATCAATAATAAATTATTATTATATTACTATTATCACTGTGTACACACAGAGCGGCTTTCATTGCGGAACAAGAAGTTTTGGCTGGGCAAATCAAGGCAGGTGGCTGTGCCCTTCAGTGCACTTCAATGTGGTTCAATTAAGTCAACGGCACTTGGAATGACACCACTGAGATGGTAAGAAAAGAAGCAACCTTTGGAGATTTCCCCATAAAACAACGATCCTGTGTATGCTAACTTTCAGGCAAGAGATCCATTTAAATAGGGTTACAGTCCAGATTAGCAAGAGCTAAAGGTAAAGGGACCCCTGGCCATTAGGTCCAGTTGTGGCCGACTCTGGCGTTGTGGCGCTCAGCTCGCTTTACTGGCCAAGGGAGCCGGCGTACAGCTTCCAGGTCATGTGGCCAGCATGACTAAGCCACTTCTGGCGAACCAGAGCAGCGCACGGAAACACCGTTTACCTTCCCGCCAGAGCGGTACCTATTTATCTACTTGCACTTTGACGTGCTTTCGAACTGCTAGGCTGGCAGGAGCGGGGATCGAGCGACAGGAGCTCATCCCTCGCGGGGATTCAAACTGCCGACCTCCTGATCAGCAAATCCTAGGCTCTGTGGTTTAACCCACAGTGCCACCATCCGTCCCTCTAGCAAGAGCTACTTTATCATCATCATCATCATTATTATTATTTATTATTTATTCACCACCGCCTCCTCCTCTGAAATGTCTCGAGGTGGCTTGCAAGATGGAATACAAGTGATACAGCAATTAAAACCAGGAAAGTCAAAACAAAATACCTAAACATGCCTAGAACTGGCCTCTGAGCATGCCAGAAGTGCCTCTTGAGTGCATGCAAAGTGCTTTCTCCACACACTTCAATACCAGGATCACCCAGTGCACACCTGAGATTAGCTGAACAAATGCTGGTTGTGGCTCAGCCTTTGCCAACCTGGTTCTCCCCAGGTATTTTGGACTGGAGCTCCCATCAGCCCCAGCCAGTGCATTTGAGGGGGCGCCCAGTTGGCAAGGCTGCATTAGCCCCCTCCCTAAGCTTTTTAAAGATTGAAGTCCCCTGCACCCCTAAGACCATCCCTGCAATTCAAGGAAGGGACCACAAATCCCAGACTCGGGGCAGTAATGCGGCGTGGCAGAGGATTCCTAGCCAGTGGGCGCAGCAGCTGGGTGGAGCTCTCGAATTGCCCAGGGGTGAACCCTGCCAAGGTGGCACCGGGAGGCACAAACCCTGGAGCTTGAAGCTCGTAGTGAGTGGCAGGACGTGACCTCCAGAACCCCATGCTCCTTCTGGGAGCGCCAGGATGCTCCAGCACATGTCTGCAGGTGGCGCCAGAGTCATCCCAGAAGCTGCCTGGTCCTCGTTGACCTGAGGTTGCTCCCAGTGGAGACCCGGGCATCTGCCTGGCCTGGCCTGGCCTTAGCAATCGCTGCTACCTTCCTATAATACTCGCTGGCTGCCTGTTCCCTTGCAGAGGTGCCCTGGGTTTGCCGCCACACTCCCCCCTCCCATTTGCATGCAGAAGGTCCCTGGTCCACCCCACTGGCAGCATCCCCAGGTAGGGACTCTCCTCTGCTGGAAACTCTAGATTGCTGCTGCCTGCCAGAGTAGGCATTCCTGAGCTAGATTGACCAGCAGTCTGGCTCAATTTAAGGCAGCTTCCTATATCCCTAACGAATAAACTCTGCACATGCTCAAGGGGCAGTTTTTCTTAAGCTGCTTTAATAAACGCTGGCGGTGGGGAGAAGGAGGAACTCTTCGCATGCTCAGAGGCGCTTAGTCTGAAAGGCTGGAAAGCAGCAACAACAAAAGGCAGGCACTTGTTGCAGTCCTTACCTTCCAGAGGACAGAAGACCAGCCGCTGCTGGCTGGAGATTTTGGGGGCAAATCCAGTTCGCCGTCCAGATTCGCTCCGGTGCAGTCCTCATAGAAGAGGTGCAGGTAGGAACGAACCCCGTACCATTTCCCCCGCTCCATGCCTGGGCCCCGGCTGCAGCCACATGAATGTTGGCAGGATGTGGGCATTGGACCTGAGTGGGGCACAGCAAACACCTCAGGCTCGCTCGGTTCCAAGAGGCCGGCCGGCTGCTCCGTCGAAACCAAATGGACAGGAAGGACTTCGAGAGGAAATGGGGTACCGCGCTGAATATTGGGATGGGTCTGCAGGTCATGGGATTGTTCCACCCCCAGGTACAGAATGTGTTATACAGATGGGACCTGCAACTAAATTTTGAAGCCTGGAGTGCTCCCTGCTCAACCAGCCGGCCATGACCTCTCCCAGGTTGCTCCATTCCGTCCCCACTTCTCCTAGTTTTCTGTCTCCACTAACATTACCAGCAGCACCCAGCTAGGATCCTGTGCCCATTGGACATGCTGAATCTTCATGGGGCTTGTTGGAGGATTCCCCCCTCTCTCTTAAAAGAGGGTTATTGATTGTTTTCCAAACCTCAGGCTGGACACAGGACTCCACATGTGGTGTGACCAAGGCAGAATAGAGTGATACTATTGCTTCCCTTTTTGAATTCTAGTGCTGGAGGAGACTCTTGAGAGTCCCATGGACTGCAAGAAGATCAAACCTCTCCATTCTGAAGGAAATCAGCCCTGAGTGCTCACTGGAAGGACAGATCCTGAAGCTGAGGCTCCAAGACTTTGGCCCCCTCATGAGAAGAGAAGACTCCCTGGAAAAGACCCTGATGCTGGGAAAGATGGAGGGCACAAGGAGAAGGGGACGACAGAGGACAAGATGGTTGGACAGTGTTCTCGAAGCTACCAGCATGAGTTTGACCAAACTGTGGGAGGCAGTGGAAGACAGGAGTGCCTGGCGTGCTCTGGTCCAGGGGGTCACGAAGAGGCGGACACGACTAAGCGACTAAACAACATTGCTTTCCTTGACCTGGACACTAGACTTCTGTTGATGCAGCCGAGAATAACATTAGCTTTTTTTGCCGCTGCATCACCCTGTTGGCTCTTGTTCAGCTTGCAGTCCACTAGCCCCAGATGCTGTGGCCTAGATGGGCCACTGGCCTGATCCAGCAGCCAAGCTCTCCTTTGGAGAAGCAAATTCACCTTTAGGACTACTTGGAAAGCAAGTCATATTGGTGTATGGATAGTACAGCCATACCTCGGGTTACAGGTGCTTCAGGTTGCGTTTTTTCGGGTTACGGACTTGCCGAAACCCGGAAGTACCGGAACGGGTTACTTCTGGGTTTCGGTGGTCACGCATGCACAGAAGTGCTAAATTGCGCTTTGCGCATGCACAGAAGTGCTGAATCGCAACTTGCGCATGTGCACATGCGGTGCTGCAGGTTGCGAACACTGCGGGTTGCAAACGTTGCCCGAGCATCCACTGTACTGTAATGTTGTTGTTGTTGTTGTTTAGTCGTTTAGGCGTGTCCGACTCTTTGTGACCCCCTGGACCAGAGCACGCCAGGCACTCCTGTCTTCCACTGCCTCCCGCAGTTTGGCCAAACTCATGATGTACAGCTTCGAGAACACTGTCCAACCATCCCGTCCTCTGTCGTCCCCTTCTCCTTGCGCCCTCCATCTTTCCCAACATCAGGGTCTTTTCCAGGGAGTCGTCTCTTCTCATGAGGTGGCCAAAGTATTGGAGCCTCAGCTTCAGGATCTGTCCTTCCAGTGAGCACTCAGGGCTGATTTCCTTCAGAATGGATGCGTTTGATCTTCTTGCAGTCCATGGGACTCTCAAGAGTCTCCTCCAGCACCAGAATTCAAAAGCATCAATTCTTCGGCGATCAGCCTTCTTTATAGTCCACCTTTCACTGTAATGATAGCTTAGTTTGAATGTGAACTCAGCATTGAATCATGGAACCCTAGAATTGGGTCATCTGGTCCAACGCCTTGCAGCATCTCAGCTAAAGCATCCATGACAGATAGCCATCTAACCTCGGCTTAAAATATGCTGGTTTCCTGAAACAATTGCCGTCATGCATCCCTGGAATCTCACCCAGAATAGCTCCAGGAGAAGAGGTCCTCCAGGCATTTATTAACGGATCCTTCTCCATTAAGGGCACTTGTGATAACAGCTGGGCACTTCTCCAAAATGACTTGTTGGCTTCTGCAACTGACAGGGGCAGATTGGGGACATTTTTTGGTGGCCTGAGGGGAGACCCCCACCCCATCTGTAAGCTGATCGTGAGCCCCTTTCGAGTTTGGCAGGATGCTGTTGGTTCTGGAAAGATGGAGGGACTGCTCTGTTTCTATACAGTGGTACCTTGGTTCTCAAATGCCTTGGTTCCCAAACGCTGAAAACCCAGAAGTAAGTGTTCTGGTTTTGGAATGTTTTTCGGAAGTCGAATGTCCGATGTGGCTGTCAGCTATTGCTTCCGGGGCGCCTGCACCAATCAGAAGCTGCGCCTTGGTTTTCAAACATTTCGGAAGTCAAGCGGACTTCCGGAACAGATTAAGTTTGGCGCTTTTGTTTTTACTATTCATTTTGTGTTTTTGTTTTTGAGGCTTTTTCGGTTAATTTGTTTTTGTTTTGTGGAACCCAGTTCAGCTACAGTACTGATTGATTGATTGATTGATTGATTGTGTGACTGTGGAAATGGATAAAAGCCCGCCATCCAAACAACGACTATCATCGGTGCAGGTAAGAAAAAAAATTATTTTTACTTTTTATCATCTACATCTTAATTATTTTATAGTGCAGCACATTGATTATTGCTTTCGTTTTATGGATCAATGGTCTCGTTAGATAGTAAAATTCATGTTAAATTGCTGTTTTAGGGGTTGTTTTTAAAAGTCTGGAACGGATTAATCCATTTTGCATTACTTTCTATGGGAAAGCTCGTCTTGGTTTTGGAACGCTTTGGTTTTGGAACGGACTTCTGGAAAGGATTAAGTTTGAGAACCAAGGTACCACTGTATTCACGTCCAGCTCTTCCTCCATCTAGGAGGACCATGCAGGGCTGGCCTCGCTGGGGTATTTTTGGTGTGTGCTCACCACAACCCTGTGAGGTAGGATTGTCTAAGAGCTAAGGGACTGGCTGAAACAAGCACCCACAGTCTCCCCCACCATGATCTTTGTGGCCAGGGGCAAACTACACATTACAAACAAATTGTTTTTAGGGGTTTTTTTTTTGCTTTATTTTAATGGTATTGTTTAGATGAATGGTAGGAAGGGCAGGGTATAAATTTAATAAATACAGTGATACCTCGGGTTACATACGCTTCAGGTTACAGACTCCACTAACCCAGAAATCGTACCTCAGATTAAGAACTTTGATTCAGGATGACTACAGAAATTGCGCAGCAGTGGCGCGGCGGCAGCAGGAGGCCCCATTAGCTAAAGTGGTACCTCAGGTTAAGAATAGTTTCAGGTTAAGAATGGACCTCTGGAACAAATTAAGTTCTTAACCCAAGGTACCACTGTTAATAGTAGAAATCAATCAATAAATGAACGTAACAGAGCAGTCACATCCATAAAGGTAGTTTGGGAAGGGCACCATTTTGCAAAGAGAAGCAGCTTTGGGAGGGGGACAGATTGAGAAGAGGGGGAGAGGCTTCCAGGACGTTTCTGAGCACAATTCAAAGTGTTGGTGCTGGCCTTTAAAGCCCTAAATGCTCCCTTGGCCTGGTATACCTGAAGGAGCGTCTCCACCCCCATTGTCCAGCCCTGAGATCCAGCTCTGAGGGCCTTCTGGCAGTTCCCTCCCTGCAAGAAGTGAGGTTACAGGAAACCAGGCAGAGGGCCTTCTCGGTGGTGGCACCCGCCCTGTGGAACGCCCTCGCATCAGATGTCAAGGAAATAAACAACTCTCTGACGTTTAGAAGACATCTGAAGGCAGCCCTGTTTAGGGACACTTTTAATGTTTATTGGTTATTGTGTTTTTAATATTCTGTTGAGAGCCGCCCAGAGTGGCTGGGGAAACCCAGCCAGATGGGCGTGGTAGAAATAAATTATTATTATTATTATTATTATTATTATTATTATTATTATTATTATTATTGGGAGGGGCATGGGACCCCCTGCAAATGCATCATGATCCCATCGGGTGTGTTTGTGTGTGTTTGCATGTGTTATAAATGGGAGCGCCAGAAGGTTGCTGCTCTTCCACCACCACACACACAAACCAGGAACAAAACCAGCACCTTGGATCAGAGAAACTTTCTCAGATCCTTCAGACAAAAAGCGGAGGTTTTCCTGCACCTCCAAGAAGCATCCAGGTGCTGCAATTTATTTATTTATCACATTTATAACCCCGCCTGTTCCTCCAAGGAGCTTGAGATGGTTCTCCTCCCCCTCTATTCCATCTCAACAACAACCTTGTGAGGTTGTCGCTGCCGGCAAGGTCACCCACGGTGACCTTTGCTGCCGTGTGGGCATTCGAACCCTGGTCCCTCCCGGGCCCTGGTCCAGCTCTCGCTAGCCACTACGCCGCACTGCCCCTCTTTGCAATGCCTCCTTGCAGCCCTCTGGGAGGAAGACTGTCTGCCCTTCCCCCCTCCTTCCCTCCCGCTTTCCTTTCTGCTCCCCACACCCCACCCCATCAGTTCAGACTGCCTGGCTGTGAGCTGGCTGCATCCTGTTTCCCTGATTGGCCGTTGCCATGGGGACCGCCTCACGCAGAGAGGAGGGAGGATGGCTGCAAAGCCCGCTCCATCCTTCAGCATGCTGAGAGCCAGACCCAGATCCAAGGGCTGGTGGGGTGGGGAGGGAGCAAGCGCTGAACCCATGGAGTTCCTCCTTCTGGAAAGGGCCTTATCCCAGCCTCCGTCCTGTATCCTAAAACCCTTCAGCGAGGTTAGGCTACCCGGCAGGGAGAGGAAAAGGCTGCTGTTGCTTTTAATCACTTTTATTCAACAGCACAGTCTTCCGCAAACTGAGAGGCGGTGTTGTGCAGTGGCTAGAGTGGTTCTCTTGTGAACCACCCTGGGATCTTCATTGGGGTTTTTTTTTTTAAAAAAAAAAAAGAACAATTTTTGTCCATGGAGGCACAGGTCAATTCTGTGTCCAGGGCAGCTGTTTGCTAGCTCCATCTGGTATGCCCAGGTCACGTTTTGCTGCTTCTGCGCATGCGCATAACGTCATTTTGAGCGTCTGCGCATGCGCGAGCAGCGAAACCCAGACGTAACATTCTCCGTTACTTCCGGGTTGCCGCGGAGCACAACCCAAAAGTGCTCAAACTGAAGCACATTCAACTCAAGGTATGACTGTATTTTAATGTTGGAAGCTGCCCAGAGAGGCTGGAGAAGCCCAGCCAGATGGGCGGGGTATAAATAATAAATTATTATTATTATTATTATTATTATTATTATTATTATTATTATTATTATTACTACTCCAGCAGTGGAGGAAGAACAGTGTCAGGAGTGTGTACAGGAGCCAGGCCCTGTGACCAATAGGACTCTGCAGGACTAGGGCCTTCCTAAGTTTGTTCTAGAGAGGCAAGGCGCGGCCACACAGGTGAGGCTGATTGGTAACTCACAGCACCTGGCGGCAAGAGCCTGGAAGGGATATAAGGTCAGCGTCTTCCCTTTGGCTCTTTGCCACAGCAACACGTTCCCTGCCTTGCTACGTTTGATTCCTTGACTCCTTGCTTCCTGATCCTCGGACCCCTGGCTTCTGGACTCCTGGTTCTCTGACTCTCGGACTCTGGGCTTCCTGACTCCTGGCTTCTGGACCCCCGTTCCTGCTCCCACCCCGCCATCTTGCCCCCGGTCCTGACGTCCCCAGCTGGGACTTCGATCGCCCATGAACCATTGTGGCCGCTGATTGTCTTAACTGGGTCATGGCCTGGACCTTCTATTTCCCCCTCCTGGTATAGCAGAAGTGTCAGGACTGGCCCTATCCACTTTCCCCCTACTAATAAGAACATAAGAAGAGGCTGCTGGGTCAGGCCAGTGTGGCCCATCTAGGCCAGCATCCTGTTCTCACAGATGCCCCAATAAGAAAACCCGTAAGCAGGACTCGAACCCAGACCCCTGTCCCCTCCTCCTGTGGTTTCCAGCAACAGGCATTCAGGAGCATTGCCGCTACCAACTGTGGAGTCATCCTGACTAGAAGCTCTCAATAGCCCTGTCCTAATTGGTCTGATCCTGTTTCATTTCAAAGCGGGTGGCCGTCCCTGCCTGCTGTGGCAGGGAGTCCCATAGCTTAACAGGGCGAAGAACTGCTTCATTTCATCTGTCCTGGGCCTTCCAACAATATCTGTTCCGCCGCGGCTCCTCACCTGTGTTTTTGGCGCCAGCCAAAGAAGTCCTCCTAGCGCATCTCTCTGCCTCTCCGCCGGCAGCGACAAGCCACAGGTGGGCACCCGCCGAAGTGGAAGAGACAGGGCAGCCGCCACTGCCGCCGGTTCACAAAGGAGGCAGGCTGCGTCATCTGTGCCAGGCAGCAAAATGCCAAATGCCCTTTTGCCACCCCCTCACGGCCAGGTCAGCCGGGCAGGGTGCTTGGCGGGGCGGCCGTTCCTCTGTGGCAGCAGGCAGAGACGAGGTTTGCTGCCCGCCGGCGGCTGCGAGCGCAGCTCCAGAGTGCCAGGCTGCCAGTGTCTGAGTCAGTCGCTCTCGGAAACGGATGTCTCCACGGGGACGAGAGCAGCTTTCTCGAGAGCGCAATGCCTCCCCTCCCGCCTGGCTGAGTCACGGCTGGCCTCGGCTGCCCACACCTCTGGCAGGCCCCAAATATTCGGAGCCCGGCAGCCGAGAAGGGAGAGTCGCTTTCGCTCTCTGAGGATGAACGTGGCAGCTTCTGCGGAATCCAATTATCTTGTTAACTAGGACCTTGCAGACAGGAGGAATCTAACACAAGCTCAGCGGGAAAGATGGAGCTCTCTGTGCCCGTACAGAAGGCAACTGGTTTTGACGCCCCTCCAGCGCTAAATGGACTTAGGATCCACCGTCGGAACTGGGGGCACGATCCACCTGTCTATTCCATGGAGAAATGGTGGGATTAAAATATTGTTGCAGGCCACCCCGATTTCGTCAGATGGGTGGGGTACATTATTATTATTATTTTAATCTCTGAGCAGTGTGAGATTCCAGAGGTTCCAGGTGCTTACCCAGAGTTTGTATTTCCTGGAGTTAAGTACCACTGGTACACCATTTTCATCAAATTTTCCTCTGATTGTGTAACATGCCATAAATTTAATATCACATCTCCCTAATTTCTCCCATTGATCCAGCCGAATTGCGTAACCTATATCGCATGCCCATTTAGTCATAACTTCTTTTACTTCTTCATCCTTTAACTCCTGTTCTAATAATAAATTATACATTTTGGATATATTCTTGTTCGAGTTTTGTAATAATACTTTTCGTGATTTTGATTCTTCTTTTTCAAATCCTATTACTTTGTCCTGATTAAATATTTGGGCAATCTGATGATATTGGAACAGTGTGGTGCAGTACTGGGTCACCTCTTCATATGGTCTTAATTTTATTTTATTTTAAATTAAAAAATTTTTTAAAAAAAGAGTTTGTATTTCCTTCAGGAACGAGGCACAGCAGAGACTGTGGTGTTTTCATGCTATGTGGTTTATTTACACATATATATACACCGTATTTTCCCGTGTAAAAGACGCCCCCATGCATAAGACGCTGCCTATTTTGGGGGACTCCAAATTAAGAAACACCCCCTCAGCACTACCTGTGTATAAGACGAGCCCCAATTCTAAACCTAATTTTCTGGTGAAAACCCCCCCTAGTCTTATACACGGAAAAATACAGTATATACAACTTGAGTCTGCAATGTGGGGGTTCATATCATGAACACTCCAAAACGCTCTTGTTTCTCATGCAGAAATCAGCCATGGCTTTCTCTCTGTTGGCTGTACTTGGGTAAAGTAACTAAGCCTGGAGAGCTCTGTTGGTTTGAGCGTGGTGCTGCCAGCGCCAAGGTTGCAGGTTTGATCCCCTAATGGGACTGCATTGCATTGGCTGGGGGGTCACGGGAGTCAAGCAACATCTAGAACATGGGTAGGCAAACTAAGGCCCGGGGGCCGGATCTGGCCCAATCACCTTTTCAATACGGCCTGCGGATGGTCTGGGAATCAGCGTGTTTTTTCATGAGTAGAATGTGTCCTTTTATTTAAAATGCATCTCTGGGTTATTTGTGGGGCCTACCTGGTGTTTTTTTTGGGTGGGACGCGGGTGGCGCTGTGGGTTAAACCACAGAGTCTAGGACTTACCAATCAGAAGGTCGCCGGTTCGAATCCCCGTGACGGGGTGAGCTCCCGTTGCTCAGTCCCTGCTCCTGCTAACCTAGCAGTTCAAAAGCACATCAAAGTGCAAGTAGATCAATAGGTACCGCTCTGGCGGGAAGGTAAACGGCGTTTCCGTGCGCTGCTCTGGTTCTCCAGAAGCGGCTTAGTCATGCTGGCCACATGACCCGGAAACTGTACGCCGGCTCCCTCGGCCAATAAAGCAAGATGAGCGCCGCAACCCCAGAGTCGGTCACGACTGGACCTAATGGTCAGGGGTCCCTTTACCTTTAGCTGGTGTTTTTACCTTTAGCTGGTGTTTACTTAAAATGCATCTCTGGGTTATTTGTGGGGTATAGGAATCCATTCATCCCCCCCCCATTATAGTCCAGCCCTCCACAAGGTCTGAGGGACAGTGGACCGGCCCCCTGCTGAAAAAGTTTGCTGACCCCTGATCTAGAAGGCACCAGGCTAGGGAAAGATGACCCCTAGCCCCCTCGCACAACTGCTTGCATGCACACTTGTCTCCCTCCACAGTTTCCAGGTTGCTTTCAATCGATCCAGATCCCAGGGTGAATGGAAGACTTCCAGAGCGTTTGTCCAATCCAGACACTGTCTGCATCACTGGGCCAGCAACAGTGGGCTTTGGAGTCTGCCTTTCCGTTGCTAGGAAACGATGGCGGCCGAGATGCTCTGTTGCTGGGATGCTGATGCTGTGGAGGGAGAGCTGGCGAGGAGAGAGTGCCAGCTTCCCTGTTGCCAGGATACGCCTGTTGTCGGGAGAGAGGAAAGGTGTGGCTTGTTGCCAGGGTGCCTCAGCGAAGCCAAGCGCTTGGTCCTAGCAACAGCGCACCTCTCGCTGGTACCCTGTGCCCATTCCTCCGCAGGGCAGCTGATTGGTCCAGGGCAAGGGACCGAGGCACCGAGTGGCAGATTCCATCCACAGGTGCCATGGGAACTAGTTGCCAGCCGCCTCCCGGTCTCCTGGCTCTCCTGCAGAGTTTGCAAGCATGCCGGGAGGGCTGTGGCTCAGTGACAGGAGCAGCTGTTTTGAATGCAGAAGGATCCAGGCCCAGTGCTTGGTATCTGACCGGACATCGTTCTGCCCGGACACTGAGGTCCAGCTCCGAGGGCCTTCTGGCGGTTCCCTCACTGCGAGAGGCCAAGTTACAGGGAACCAGGCAGAGGGCCTTCTCGGTAGTGGCACCCGCCCTGTGGAACGCCCTCCCACCAGATGTCAAAGATATAAACAACTACCTGACATTTAGAAGACATCTGAAGGCAGCCCTGTTCAGGGAGGTTTTTAATATGTGACATTTTTGTGTATTTTTCATCTTTGTTGGAAGCCACCCAGAGTGGCTGGGGAAACCCAGCCAGATGGGCGGGGTACAAATAATAAATTATTATTATTATTATTATTATTATTATTATATCTGTAGGTAAAGGTAAAGGGACCCCTGACCATTAGGTCAAGACGTGGCCGACTCTGGGGTTGCGGCGCTCATCTCGCTTTATTGGCCGAGGGAGCCGGCGTACAGCTTCCGGGTCATGTGGCCAGCATGACTAAGCCGCTTCTGGCGAACCAGAGCAGCGCACAGAAACGCAGTTTACCTTCCCACCGGAGTGGTACAGTCATACCTCGAGCTGAATGTGCTTTGGGTTGAGCGTGTTCATGTTGCGCTCCATGGCAACCTGGAAGTAACGGTGTGCGTTACTTCTGGGTTTCGCTGCTCATGCACGTGCAGACGCTCAAAATGACATCACGCGCATGCACGGAAGCGGCGAAACGCGACCCGCGCATGCGCAGACGCGCCATTGCATCTTGCGTTCCGTTCGAGATGCGAACAGGCCTCCAGAATGGATCCCGTTCGCATCCCGAGATCCACTGTACCTATTTATCTACTTGCACTTTGATGAACTGCTAGGTTGGCAGGAGCAGGGACCGAGCAACGGGCGCTCACCCCCTCGCAGGGATTCGAACCGCCGACCTTCTGATCAGCAAGCCCTAGGCTCTGTGGTTTAACCCACAGCGCCACCCGCGTCTATCTGCAGGTAGAACTGGGCAAATGACCCCTGTCTGAAACTCCAGAGACCCTCTGTTGCTTAGTGCAGATGATACTCAGTATTGTCCCAAATACTACTATCAGAACTACGATGTCCCAAATACCTCGACAAAGAGGCAGGATGGAAAGTTAGTTCATTGCCAGTGGCAGATTTAGGTGTTCTGTTAAATAGCAACTGTTTGCCACATATTTTTTTTAAAGTGTATTTTTAACACCTGGGAAGGGTGTGGGGAATTTTCTGATACGTACACCAGCATTTTCAGGGCTAGACCAATCCTGAATGTACCTCTCAGGTGACTCCTTTTCTCTGGCACCAATGGGGGCAGAAAGTTGGGGGAGCCCCAAGTTGCTGGGCAAACACAGCCTTCGACTAACAGTCCCAGCGAGGTGCTTGCCGTGTGTCCAGGCAAAAGGTCTTGTCTGCTTTCTCATTGTGAGGGTGGGAGTCAGGAAGACAGCCAGTTTTAGATCTTGGGCTACTCTTTCCCTCCTGCCTAACTGTCAATTTAGCAACAGGCATGTTGACCTGGAGTCATGATTCTCACTTAAGACACAAGAAGTCCACCCACTTGCATGCCTTGCTGGGGAAGAGGTGGTTTTTTCTAAGGACCTCTCCAGAAGTCCTTTGCATTGTGAATTCATGGTGATTTGTGCTCATGGCAGCGTCAGGGCAGTACAATGCAAACCTGGAAGAACTTTCTGGCAATAAGAACAGTGGAACGGTCTCCCTTGGAAGGTTTCAGGGGGTTGGGGTCCCTTCCAACTCCACAATTTTATGATTCTATATACAGTATACTCTTGATATTGTTTTCACCTTCAGCGGTTTCAGGAGAAGACATACAGTGGTACCTTGGTTCTCAAACGCCTTGGTACTCAAACAACTTGGAACCCAAACATTGCAAACCTGGAAGTAAGTGTTGTGGTTTGCGAACTTTTTCTGGAAGCTGAACGCGCTCCACTTTGAGTGTTGCGCTGACGATTTGAGTGTTACGCTGAGGTCTGTCTGTTTTTGCTGTTTATTTGCATTTCTGTTTTTGCGGCTTTTTTGTTTTGTTTTTGTGGCTGTGTGGAACCCAGTTCAGCTACTGATTGATTGATTAGGTGACTGCAGTACCTTGCTATTGTTCTCATTTTATGGATCAGTGGTCTTGTTAGTTAGTAAAATTCATGTTAAACTGCTGTTCTAGGGGTTGTTTTTAAAAGTCTGGCACGGATTAATCCGTTTTGCATTACTTTCTATGGGAAAGCATGCCTTGGTTTTGGAACGCTTTGGTTTTGGAACAGACTTCCAGAATGGATTAAGTTTGAGAACCAAGGTACCACTGTATTGCTTTGTTTCCAGTCAGTGCATGTTCTGTAACATCCTCTTGAAGTCCTGTGATAACTTTTTTCCAGACCACAAATGTTCCAGTTTATTTTTTGGCCCGCTTCTGTTGCATGATAGCACAAGAGGGGCCTCTTCAGAAGGAAGCGTTGCTGTGAGACTGGGGAAGCATCGCAGAACAACTAAAAAAGTTGAATGATGTGTGGACAGTCTGGTGTAAATCCAGCACTCTTGCACTAGGAATACTTTGATGACATGTGGCAGAAAACACCCACAAAGA